CATCGCAATGGCTCGGGTCGATTTATCAGTGCACTATGTATTTGCAATGTGGCCCCATATTCCAATGACGGTTGTCTACAAGATGCAAAGGATGTGTGTGCGTGGATGTGATGCGCATAGACTCCGACCCGCAATGCTCCTGATGTCGAAAGATCTTGGAAGCTAAGCGGGTTTTGACCCCTGCATGTTGGCTGGACTGGGTGACCATTATGCATTAACAGGTTGTAATAGCTGCCCAGAACAGACTGTTGTTGTTGTTAAAGGCTCGGGGCTACATGGTGGAGAGCAGAGGGAAGGCAAGTACAGAAATATCCGTTGTATTGTACTTCTATGCTGCCTAACTTGACCAATCCGCACTATCCAGCAGTGGTGAAGTACGGTGATATAATCCCCATGACCCTCAGGGTGCGGATTGACACAGGGCTGTGCATGTCTAATTACGTGCACGCATTACCCTTTTCGAGAGCTGTGTGTTGCGGGTTCTCACAGACAGAGGGTCTGGATTCTGGGCCTTTGGAATCTGTCTCTCTGGACGCTTTGCTCACGGTCCTCCACCATGCCGGGGCAATTGCCGAGGACACCATCGCTTCAGCCACCCGAACGAGACGCGTGCACACCCGTACCTCGAGGTATCGTCACAACTCGCTCGCCGGGCGTCAGCGACGCGTGTTTAGGATTGTTGTGGACTTGTTAACGATGCACGGAGTGGATCCGTCGCGTGCCTCCCGCGCGACACTTACAGTTGAAGCCAGCGAGTTTCTGGGGAGGCTCAACCGAGACACACGGTGAGCTGCTAGCCCCTCCTGTCTTCGTCAGTCCCACTACAGGGACTCCTCTACTTACGAACGAGTTAGGTTCCAGAGGTCTGTTCATAAGTCAATCTGTTCGTAAGTCTAACTCTATTCCTGTCAATTCAGAACGTTTTGTACGGCATGTACACTAAACACGGGGAATGGCTTTAAAGTTGTATAATCTCCTGTAGATGTAGATGACACTGGTTCTTCACGTTCTGCAGAAGTAGATGCCACCTCCGCCATCTATTGCACGGTGGTTGAACTTACGACTATCAGTCCGAACAGATAACTGGAAATGCGGACAGGTTTCTCCGTATCTCTGAAAGTTCGTAAGTCGGACGTTCGTAAGTAGGGGAGTCCCTGTACTTTTACATAGCCATACCCACTGAATCGCTCGTGCCGCATGCAAGGTGAGTGGCCTCGTCGCTCTCTCTTATGTTGGTCCTGTCTCCTGCTCATATGCCGCGCCTGCTCCTCTGCCAGACGATTTTAAACTGGCAACAAAATCACCTATTTCTCGCAAGAGCTGCAGGACATCGCAACAGACATTTGCCAGATTTACTGTAACATGTGCAGCGTGTACCGCTAATGTTATTTATGTGTTAGCCATTTACGCCGCTTACTTAAAACCGTTTATCGTTTCAGGAACACATCGTTCAGGTGTTCCGAGATCTGGGATCGGAAGACCTAGAGCCTGTTCGTTTCCAGGCACTAATCAAGCATCCACTGATTGAAGAAATGATCAGCTTGATTTTAAAATTCAAATTAGTGGTAAGGGATGATTTGCTCATCCCGACGAATGTACTACCCTAAAACATATGTCATATGCAGTTAAATTCAATTAACCAGATTAACCGTGCATGCGAAAAAATCTTAATATTTTACGTGGGCACATTTTGTTGGTTGCTTCTCACTCGTTGGGGGTCTGTGACTCTGTGCCCCTGGGATCGGCTTAACAACGGCAAGTAAAACCAACAATCTTTAGGAAGCGATGAAAACAGACGACGCATTCAATGTTCTTACCCCCCCCCATCCCACTCCACCCCCCCGCCCATTCTACGTAGCTAAACAATTAATATATTTTGACAGTCTAATTTACGGTGTTTTGCACTATTGTAGATGACCGAGAGTCGATTATATTCGGGTTTGATAGACAGGAAGCATTTAGCTCTCGAGTAACCAAATGCAGGATGGTGCAACAGGCAGGATAATTATTTATATCGATAACACTGGTCAATACACTTTTTCTGGCATAAGGTATTCCAACGGTTTTAAGGTAATTTTGGGGTGCTGATTCCAAATCAGGTTTTTGAGATATCAAATATTGCATTTTCAATATAAACTGCAGAAGAAAAATATTAAATAAATGTGGATATCTACATAAAATGATATTATAAACACACTATCCTAAAAATACAGCACCATATTTTAACACTAAAGCAGTCACTGACTCGCAACAACTTGCAATCATGAGTGACAGAGTTAATTTCTGGTAAAATCAATGAAAATGGGGTATGCCGATAGCATAAAAATGAGATGTGATAGAGCAAATCTGAGATCAGATTTGAAATCAGCACCCTGAAATTAGTCTAAAACAGCTGCAAAAGTCCAGGCCAGAAAAAATATGTTTTTTTTGTTGACCAGTGTAATTAATTGAAATCAGACTGCTTTTCAAATCTCATTCTCTTAAATGTATTGGATTTTTGTTTTGAGATTACAACCAATCTTCTTTGGAATTACAATCAACCTCCTTCAGGTACTCTTCATAAAAATGGTCTCACTCTAAAGCAGAGGTTGGCCAATCCGCCAAGCAGTGCGATCCGCTCTGGCGGATCTCAACGGGCTCTGCTATTCCACCAGAAAGCTACGACCAACAATTACCCTTGTAGAGTTTAACACATTAAGTACTAGCACCCATCTATTGGTAGACGTTATTATCTTGTATTCTTTCAATGAATCCTTAGTAGTGGATTTTTGTTTGTTTGCTATCATCCGTACTGAAAATTGTTGTTTGCTTATGGTAGTGTTCTGGTTTGTCCTGAGATGCACAACACATGTTCTGCAATCCACCCGTGGATCTCAATCAACGTATTGGCCACCGCTGATCGAGACAAGTATTTAAATTGTTATCTAACTGGGGCCAGTTACAGTGATTGCGTTCCCACGCATGCATATTTTACTCATGGTAACAGTGTATTGTAAGAGCAGTAGGTAATCTTCTTGGTTCTTTCGGTAAAGTCACGTAGAATGGAAATAATAAAATACGTGACTTTACCGAAAGAACCAAGAAGATAAATCCCTGCAGTCACGAAAGCTTTAAATCGAAAAGCAGTAGGTAACCTCGTAACATATCAAATCATATTTTAATCATTCCCATACAACAGGCGCTACAGTCTTATTCCAAAAAATGTTATTGTATCCAGTGTCCAATAAAGAATTTAATCCAATGTCTAAGCTCAGCATGCTTACTTCTCATGGCCGCTGTTCCGACGTTGCTATTGGCTCGGCCCCTCTCTCCATTCCTGTCTGCGGAAGGCATAACCCCCATCCCTTGTTGTTGTGACTCGATTCACTTTCACATCCTTTGTTTTTTGTATCCTTCATCCTCATCTTCATTCTCCCACTCCAACTTTCTCACTCTCCTCTCCTTCCATCTCATTCACTCTCCATCTCATC